ATGAGTAGCGGGCCGCAGTAATCCACGCCTGTTTTCTCAAACGGAGGCGATGGCACTACTCGGTCTCTTGGCAAGTCGCCCATCAATTGTTCAGTCAAAATTGGCCGAAACCGGTAGCAGATAATGCATTTGTGGAGTACATGCTTGATGGTGCTTCTAGCATTGATATTCCAAAAGTTTTCTCGAAGGATGGTGAGCAAGGTTTGGCAACCAGCATGAAGATGATGTCGATGAAAATGCATGATGATTGTATGAACGAAAGGGTGCGATTTTGGTAGCAAAACTGGATGTTTTTCGTTAAAACTCAGCGAAGAGTTTTTAAGCCGACATCCTACTCGTGTATGAATGGTGATAACTGCGATAATGGTGATTTGTGAGACGATTTAATTGTAAATTGGTGAATTCATCTACGAAGGTGTGGGTTTGAACGATGCGACAGATGGTGAGGAGAGAATCGTTCATTTCCGATGCGGTGATGTGATCTTGTTGGCTGTGGTGGTGAATTTTGTGAGCTCCGTCTATAAAGCGCCGCACATAACAAAAAATTCGAATGAGTTTGTTGTAGTTGGTGGGGAATTTGTGCTCGCCGATGATGTCTGTTGTCGGGTTTGTTATTAAGGTGATGTACTGCCGACGTTGTTCTGGGATTTCGATGTCGATGAGCGATGGTGAAGGCCAATGGTTAGCTTCAAGTGTGAGAAAATTTGGACCGTGAAACCAAAGTTTTTTGCCAATGAGCTGGTCAACCTTTGCTCCACGCGACAGTATGTCTGCTGGATTCACCTCGCTGGGGATGTGGTGCCACTGATATTGCTTGGTGAGCAACTGAATTTTGGTTACTCGGTTGCTGACGAATGTTGACCACCGTGATGGTTCACCCTTTATCCAGGCAAGCGTGATCATCGAATCTGTCCAACAGTGAACGTTGTTTGAATCGTGACGAAGGTTTTTGGACACTGACTCAAGTAATTCAGCCAGTAGTAATGCAGCACACAGCTCCAAGCGAGGCAAACTAACTTCCTTCGTAGGTGCGACGCGAGACTTAGCACACAAAAGTGACGAACTAGATTTCGTTGCTAAATAGATTGATGCGCCATATGCCTTTGTACTTGCATCTCCAAAGGCATGGATATTAGAATCACAGTCGAAAGCTACTAACCTTGGGACTCGAAGATTTTCGAGAAGTGGCAGTTTTGCGCAGAATGTCTCCCATTGTGTGTATACGCAAGGAGGTACACTTTCGTCCCAATTCAAATGAAGCATCCATAATTGCTGCAACAAAACCTTGTAGGTGACAATGAGTGGGTTGAGTAATCCCAGCGGGTCGAAGAATCTAGCAATGTGAGAGAGAATGGTTCTCTTACTCACTTTCGATGATGGTGGTGGTGGTGTGTAGCGAAACAAAAAACTATCTTGCGATGGGGACCACATAAGGCCCAGTGCCTTTATGTAGTCAATGTCATCAAGCTGTATGACGTCTTCACGATCTGCTTCTGGTAAGTCTGCGATTATGCGTGTATCGTTTGATGAGAACTTCCTCAATGGAAATCGCCCATTGTTCAGCACCTCGATGACTTGCTTCTTAATTTCGACAACTTCTTGAATAGTGGAGGCACCCGTCATCATACATAAAAGTCGTTATGGACGGCGTAAGCGCCGATTGGATGAGATGACATGTGTTCGCATGCCAGCTGCTGCAAACACTTTGTGGCCAAGTAGGGCGCACATGCCGTACCGTAGGTCACTGTTTGTAACTGGAATGTGATTATGCGGTCGGTTATCTCATCGCGCCACAAAATGCATTGCCATTGTGCATCTTGCTTGTCCACGATGATTTGTCTATACATCTTTGCGACGTCAGCCATCAGCACAAAGACATGCCTTCTGAATCTAAGGAGAATTGAAAACAAATCATCTTGCACTGTAGGTCCAACTCGAAGAATGTCGTTGAGTGATTTGCCGTTAGATGTACGACACGACGCATCGAACACGACGCGAAGTTTGGTGGTGCTGCTATCCAACTTCACGACTGCATGGTGTGGTATGTAGTTTACGAAGCTACCAGGGTGAGGTATGCAAATCATGTGATGAAGCTCGATGTATTCTTTCATGAAGGAATAGTAGTCTCGCTCGAGACATTTGTTGCGACGAAGTTTGATTTCGATAGACACTAGTCGTTTTTGTGCTATATCATACGAGCTGCCCAATGACTGTGGTGATTCCTTAAAAGGCAAACGAACGATGAACTTATTGGTGTTGGGGCATCTCTTTGTCGTCGCTGCGAAGAATTTTTCGCACTCAATTTCATCAGCAGTTAGACTTGGTGGTGTTTGATGTGGATTGTGTTCGATAAGCCAAAACCTTTCCAAAATCTGATCAAGTGACGGTTCCAAGGTGAGTGACGAAGCTTCCGTTACCTTCGAATCAAAGGAGATTTGCGGTGGCCATGCGTTAGATAGTATGCAGTCGGTGCCTACTGAAGTGGTGTATGATGCGACCAATGACGCCGAAGATATAAGTGGTGGGATTATGACAGCTCCAGCGACCACCCACCCAACCTTCGTTTTTTGAAGGACAGGCAGATTGTCGCCCAACTTGATCTGTCCAATCAACAGCAAGTCATAAAAAATGCTCGCTCCAAGCAGAAGATCAACTGGGCCTGGCTTGTTGAAATTATCGTCAGCCAAGTTGATGTTCTTTGGTATGTTCCATGCGATGGTGTTCAGTGGTGTGCGCGGTTGGCATGTCGTTATTGCGTTCATGATGACCGCATCTATGGTCGATGAATATGCTGTGTGTTGATAGCGTATCTCCACCTTGCATAGGAACTGCGACCCTGATCCGCATAATCCTATGCCACTGATTTCCAGTGGAACCTTTTTGCGATGTACACGAAGTAACTGAGCCGAGCGCTCAGTTATGAAATGCAACTGCGAGGCGGAATGAAGCAGTGCACGAGCGAAAATCGTTGTACCCGATTGACTACGAAGCTGAATCACGGCAGTCGCAAGTAGAACCTCTTGGTTGCTGTCACAAACCTGAAGCACTGTTGGTGTCGAAGTTGACTTCATGGTGTTGGACGGTGTCAGTGGCGAAGACGATGATTGTGGATTGGTTGTGGTTGGTTGCGAACGGTGCAATAGAGTGTGATGACTCGCCCGACAAACTTGACATCTATGCGTGGACGGACAGTCTTTCGACGAATGATTCGGACCCAAACAGTTTAAGCACAGACTCTTCTTCTTTGCTACGTCGTAGCGTTGTACTGGTGTCAGCTTCATGAAGACGGAACAGTTGAAGGCATTATGACTGATAGAGCCTTCACACAAATTGCATTTTGGTTTATTGGTGGTGATGAACGATACTTGCTTTGGTGATTGACGAGACTTTGATTGCGACGATGATGTTGGTTCTGGTGACCGATGCGACGATTTGGTTGAAGTAGCGCTGTGATCGATGATATCGATGAGTTGGCAACGACGTTCGAGGAACGCTGCAAGATCTTCCCATGCTGGCAGCATGAGGGATACCTGGTGTGATGGTCGGTCCCACTTCGCAGCCACTTCTTCTTCCCATTTCACTTGCGTTTCATGGTCTAGCTTTGAAACGACCAAGTGAAGCAGTAGCCCGTTACCAATTTGTGTGGATGTTGCCATCGATTGCATGGCACGCATGTTTGCATTTATGACGTCGACGAAGCTACGAAGATTAGCAACAGTGGGTGTGGTGATGCGTTGTGTGTCGAAGATGTGCTGAAGATGCGACTGGAATATGTACCGCTTATGGTCAAAACGGGATTCAAGTAGCTGCAGCGCCTTCTTATAATTTGCGTTGGTCACCTCTAATGATTGTATGAGGGTAGCTGCTCACCCTGAAAGGCTTGAGCGCAGATATTGAAATTTTTCAATATCCGAGAGGTCTGGATTTTTGTCGACGAGGACCAAAAAGATATTGTAAAAATCCAGCCACTCGCGGTAGCAGCCATTGAACGTCGATAGTTTTAACTTCGGCAAATTTATTCTCTGTCGCGATGAAGATGTGTTGTGTTGTTGTGTGATGTGGGTGCTACTCAGCTGCATTCCGGATGAGTTGGTTCGTAAAAACGATAGCCTTTCACTGTACAGTGCCTTACAATAGCTCTCATCCATGGTCAGGCGATGTTCTTCATCCAGCTCGGTGTCATCTAAAATCTCCAGATGCGTTTGTAGTTCCTCAAATGAATTGTAGTAGCGCTCGATTAGCGC